TTATAGTGATATAATGAAAAAAATTAAACTCTCTTTAAAGTAAGTTTATAAAATTCTACAAATTATTGTAAAAAATTTTCATTTATATATTTCACTTTAATATTATTTTAAACGTGAAAAAAAAACGAATCAAAAATAAATCGAACATTTAATTTAATTAAATGGAGAACCGCCCCAACATTGCTAAAAGGATTGAAAAATTCAATTGTTTTTTTTTGCAAAAAAAAGCAAAAACAATGTAAAATATGAGTTGTGTTAACCTTCATTATTTTCGGTAGGTTTTTTTCGATGTCTTGCGGTAGCCAACATTTTATGATCTAACGAATGAAAGCATTCGCCGATCATAATTTAATATAAATGTTATTCGTTTTGTCTAGTCCATTCGATTCGTCTAGTCCATTCGCTTCGCCTCACATATTATACTAAAATTTATTACAAGGGAATTATACTAAAATTTATAACAAAAAAAAAATGCATATTTATCGCATTTTAAGGAGTAATTTCATTAAAATTTTTGGATCCGAACATTAAAAATTTTATACTTATTTAATCATTTCGTTTTTATTTCTAATATTTTATTTTCACTAAATTTTTATAAAATTTATTGAATTTGAATTTCCAAATTTTTTTTTTATTAATTAATTTTTAAATTGTTTTTGTTTTTGTAATATAACCTACACTATTATTAATGTTCCCTAATGTTTGAAATTTTTTTATGGCTTCTTAATTTTTAAGAAATTTTTATTTTTTTATTTTATTTCATTTTATTAATTTTAATAATATTTATGTAGAATGTGGGTAAATTATGTATTCTATTTTCTAATTAATTTTTTTTTTGTTTCTATAAAACTCATATTACTAAGAAATAAAAATTTTTACATATTTCAAAATTTAAAAAGAAAATATTTTTTTTAAATTTTAATTTGTATCTAATATTAATAATTTAAATTACAATATTGTAATTTTTTAAATATTCTAACAAAAAAATATATACAAAATAATAAAATTAAAAAAGTTAAAAGAATTTCTCAATTCTATTGTGTTTTTTCTTATTTTCTGTTTTGTTTCCATTTCTAAATTACTTATATCTCTAAAATTTATATAAATGTAATATAAATTATTTAATTATGTTTGTTTTTTTAATTTATGTTGACTTTAAAACTAAACTAGGCAATTGCAAAATCATAAAATGGATTTGCATTTATTCTTTATTTTTATAAATATTTTATTAAATTACAAAATATTTTTCTTTTTTCTTTTTTTAAAAGAAAATTCAATTTTTTTTTTCTAATTTATTAATATTATTTTTTCAAATATTTTATTTACTATTTTATACTATAACTATTCTATTTCACTTGTTTTGTTTCTCTATAAAATTTTCTTTATTTATAAAATCAAATGATATTGAAACAATTAATTTACAAATATCGTTTTCTATAAGAATTTATTTTTAAATTTAAGATAAAAGGAAAACATTTACATTTTTTAAGGGGGAACAAATAATAATAAATAATAAAAATTTATGAGTAGGACAAAAACAATATTAAATTTCATAGAATTTCTTGTAAAATTTTATTTATGACTTGAAAATTTGAAAGGGTTTTTTTAAGATTTTAATAAATATTTAAATGAAAATTGTATATTAACGCATAAAATATAATAATTATATTATACTCGTATGTTATTCAATATCTTTCTTTATATTTTTTATTATTCAAAGAAAAAATTTAAAATAAAACAATGTTTTCAAATTATAATTTATACAATAATAAAAAAAAATATAATATCAATTAAATATTAATTTTATATGCATCTTTATATACATAAATAATTATTTATATATATAAATATATTAATGATGCATTAATTTTACTACAAAAAATAATATATATATATTTTTTATTTAAATATATATATATATATATATAAAATATAAATATAAAATGGCTCTACCTATTATTTTGAAATTATTTTATTTTTATTTAATTTTGTTCAATTACATATTTCATTTATTATAATTATTTTTAATTATAACAAATTATTATTATTAATAATAATAATATAATAATATACTAATCTTGATTTCATTTATTTATTTATTTTTTGATTTATTAACTTATAATAAAAAAAAAATATTTAAATGCATTTATTTTTACATATAGCCTATTCATTTACAAGATCGATTAATTTCGATTAAAAATGTCCTTTATATTATTTTTAAAAAAAAGAATGTATACAGAAATGAAATATTTATACAATAATTTTATATTTTACAAAATAAAATATGGAATACAAGTGGTTAACATTTTATTTTGTTCTTATTTAATAAAGAAATTTAAAATTAAATTATTACAATAATATTGAAAAATAAAATATAATGTTTTAAACATAAAAGTTATACAACGAAAATATACTAAAACAAAATTTTCTAGAAAATTGGAACGGAAAGTAAATAATCTTAATATTAAGTCAATAATATTAAAATAAATAAAAAATAAGCAATTCAATGAAATTTAAATATAAAAAAAATAAAAACAATTTTGAATTCTCGAAATTTCTAACAATTGCATGAAATTTTAAAAGAAATATGGGTAATAAGATTTTCTTATTTAATATTAAAAATTATTAATTGAATTTGAGTATATTAATTCTTCTGATATTGAGTAATTTAATTCTTCTCAGATTATTTTTGAAATTTTAAATTAATAAAAACAAAAACATTTAAAAACTAAGAATAAATATTTTTATACAAAAATATAATATTGTGGGTATTTTCTGAATTGCATCTACAACGCCTCAGACACATTGTGTCATTTTCTGTAATGTCAACAAAAAAATTTGACGATCAGAATTTATTTGATGTTGTATTTGTGACGTTGTTAACACTAAAATATTTTTCAAATTGTTTATACAAAATATTTTCGATGTATATGTTGTTTTATATACTTATTTCAGTTGTAAGTAGAAATTATTAAATTAAAATAAATTTAAACAAAAAATTTTCATTTTAAAGTTTTCAAATGTAAAATAATACAATGGATTTCTTCGGAATTGCAATTACAAATTTTACAGCTTTTATTTGATAATTAACCGAAGAAACTCACAATTTCTATGTAATATAGAATGTATGCTTATTATATAAAGATACATTTTTTAACGAAACTAATTGAAATAGGCTTAAAAATGTAAAAATTGTAAAATGCATTATAAAAATGAGAAACAAAAATTAAAATAATTTTAATTCTCTTTATAATATTATGAAGACCAGAAGCCAATGTCTAAAAGTATGAAAGTTTTCTTTTTTTTTTTTTATTTTAAAAATGTAATAACGTGAAATTTCTAAATTTTTAATAATTATATCTATTAATATTTATAATTATATAATTTATAATTATATTTTATTATTAATATCTTTTAATCAATAGCTTTTGGTCTATCATTTCATTATACATACTTGTTTGTTTTCTCTTCTTATTTTTTTCAAATTGTAATTTTACATTTTTTATAATATTACATTTTGTATACAAATAAACAGATTTGCATAAATATTTCCATAAACTAGAGTAATATAATTTTAATGCATGAAAATATTTTCATTAAAGTATATTAATATTTTTTTTTATTTTCATAATTAATATATTTGTATATGCAATTTTTCATTCAATTGTTTTAATATTAACTTTATTAATATGGTTTTATTTTTTTGTTTTAATTTTCTGTTTATATGTATAATATTTTTATTTTTTGAAAATAATTAATTTAAATATTTAAAAAATATATTTATTATATATATTTTTTTTATATAAATAAAAATATGATTTGTTTTATTGTTTTTATATTGTAGATTAATTAATTTAAATATTTTGCAAAACAAATTGAAATTTCAAAATTAAAATAAAAAAAAAACTAATTAAAAAATTTTATTAATTTTAATTACACATTATTACAATATACAACCAAAAGTAAAAAAGGAAAAACATTAAATAGAGACAAAAAAAAAATAATAATATACAAAAAATAAAAAATTAATTTAAAGAAAATAAAATTAGGGAATAATAATTTACAAAAGCAAAGTATTTAGTATGTAATAAAATAATATTTATGCCTATATATTTTTTATAAATTAAAAATGTTATTTATTCATGCAAAGAGATATTCGATGCTGAAAATTTTCGTAAATTTTTGTTATACTACGTAAATCCAAACATATACATATTTTGAAAAACATGTCACTATTGTAAAGTAATTATGAATTAAAACAAAAAAAATTCATGATATTTTTTAATTAAGCAATGATAATTAAAATTTATCTTCATTTCTGTCTAAGCTATTGAATATTTATTTTCCATAAACAAAAAACAAAATTGTACCATAATTTCGTTCTCATGTTATTTTATGTTATCATAAAAATAATTATTATAAACATTTCATTTTAATTTTAGAATGAACTACAGTGAAGCATCATCTTTCAAAATAATGTTTATATAATCTCACATTTTCTAAAAATTTTTCAAAATCTCATAAGTTTTACATTTTTTCCAAAATTTTATAGTTAAAATAGCATTGGCTGTTATTTTAAAAAAAAATAAATATATTATTACATTATAATAAAAATTTATTTAGCACATTTTGTTTTAATAAATATTTAAAAAAAAAATATATATATAATATTTATTATCTTGTATATTTTTGTTTTTTATTTGTTTATACGTATTATTTGACACTTATAAGATCCTAATATAGAATATAATATGAGATTATGTTCATTTTAACATAATGAATTCAAATTATGTGGATACAAATTTACGGATTTGCAAATGAATAACCCTAATTTATATTACATAAATGTTGTATATATATATATATAATATATGTTTACAATATATTAATTTTAAAAATTTGTTATTTTTCAAATATATATATATATATATTTTATTTCTATTTAAATAATTTGAATTATAATTAATTTGTAAATATAAAAAATTGCTTCCACTTTAGTTTCATTTTTTTTTTTTAATCAGTTTTGTTTTATATTTTTTGTTGTATACTAAATATAATTGTTTATTGTATAATACATTAAAGAAGGGTGTAAATTAATTAACAAAACAGAAATTATATAAATATATTTTAATTTTTTTTTTTGTTATTTTTTATTTTCTTTGAAATTTTAAAATAAAAACAGTATTAAATACAAAATAAATTTCATTTATTTTATTTTTTTTTTCTATTACATATTATTAATTTAATTTTTTTTTTTATTTTTGAAATATTTCATGGTAATGATAAACATATATATGTATATATTGTATAATATACATAGTATTTCTATTTTGATTTTTATTTTTATATAAATATTTTAATTTTTACGTTGCTATTGCTTCCACATAATTTGCTGGATATAAACCTACTTTTCCATTTTTTCTTCCTTTACACCAACCCTGTTCATCTTCATCTTCCAATTTTTCGAATACATCGCCTAAAAATCATAATATTATATAAAATTATTTTATTTATTTTATAAAAGAGAAATTTTAAGAAAAGGAAATTAGACCTTGTTTAAATGTTAATTCATCAGCTTCTGCTCCTTCATAATCATATAAAGCTTTAACTGGCACACCAGGTTCTCCATTATCAACCAAAACATTATCTCCGTCAGCTTCATCTCCATCCCATTCCTCTTCTTCAAATGGATTTTCATTTGACTTACTTGTAGAACCATTTCTAAAAAGAAAAAAAAAAATAAATAAGTATAAACAAAAGTTTTATTATGAAAATATTATTTAATAAAATATACTTACGTTACTGTTGAATTACGATGGTTTGGTGAATTAGCTCCTTTACCACTATCTGACTTTGGTGACGGTGAGTCATGATTATTTGGAGTTGAATTATTTGAATTATTATGATGTGCTGTAGATACTACATTTGTTGTTTTTGTCGAATTCCTATTATTAACAGCATTATTTTCTTTAACTGAATTACGATTAACACTATTTTTATTTGATGGCGGAGGATATTCCTATATACAAGAAAAGAAAGTTATTTTTAATTAATATATTTTATGTAAATATAAATAAATTAATTTATTACAGATTATGTGAATTTTATATGTGTTGTATTCTTAAATAAATAATGCATTAAAGCGTGAAACAGCTTAGTTTCTAAGGAAAAGCAATAATATTTTTAACTAAAAACTTTTTAAAAAAATAGATATTTTATTTTAATATAAAAATAAAAATTTAAGCATTTTTAATGGGTTATTTTTTTAAAATAAATGAAATAATAAAAATATTATTTTCTTTTTTAAATAAAACAAAAAAAAAAACTAAAATAAAAACAAAAATAAAATCATGCGTACATGCAAATCTTCGGCAACAGGCCGCTGATTAATAAGCGTTATTGGAGCTGCTGGTAGGGCTTCCTTTGATTTATTGCCTTTAGCGATGTCTCGGAATTCCTCCGTGTATTCCTATACATATTTTCCACAAATTTTCATTTTTTTTAAACATATATTTAACAAAAATAAGTTAGAAATAAAGTAAACAAAAAAAAAAGTAAAACAAATTAATTAAAATAATAAAATACATAAAAACAACAAATTTTTTTTAATAGAATTTTTAGATTTTCTCTTACAAAAATTAGTTGAAAAATTAAAAATCCAAACCATTTTCTAATAGAGTAAAAGGAAGGGTGGGGATAACCGAATATTTAAAATTATTTTCTTCAAAATAAAAGAAAAAAAATTTTATTCCTCTTAGTTTTTATTAATTTCAGAAAAAAAAAATTATTAACACTAAAATAAAAGCTAAAAGCATTTACAAATATCTTTTCAATTCTTACCACAAATGTTGGCCAATTCATTGCCATATTATCACCATGATTATTTGACCACCATTTCAAATCTTTTTCATGATCTGAATTATTGATTGTATGATAAAATTCTTCGTATATTTGTGGTAGACTGAAAATAAAAAATTAAAAAGTAATCAATTTTTTTTTTAAGGATAAGAAAAATTTGGAAAAATGATGGTTAGTTTGCATTTGGGATTCAACTTTAACTCAAAAAACTGCTTAAATTTTTTTAACATTAGTTAATTGAAATTTAAGTTGATCAAAATAGACAATCATTGATACAACTCACCTTGTATCTTTTGTAATATCTAAACCTTTATGTATCGCAAATAAAACTTCTTTAAAGAATATCAAACGTGTCTGTTCCATATCTTGACATTTTTTAAATACATTTGACATATCTTCCATATAAACTGGATTATATTTATTTATTTCGGCTAAAGCTTGCTCATATTTCTCTCGACATTTTTGTACTTCATCTTTTGTTTTCTGTACACGTTCTTGCATTTTTTTAACCTTAAAAAATAAAAAATTAATTGATTTTAAAATTACATATATTATTTATATATTTGTTTTTTTTTCATAATTACTTGATCTGGTGATAATGAGCTATCGGCTGTTGCATTTCTTTCTTGATTTGTTGCCGTTTTTTCAGTCTTACATGCAGCATGATAATCAGCTTTTGCTTTTTCAACTTTTGCTAATAATTTAGCCCATTGTTTTTGAGCTTTTTTAAATGCATCTTCCATTTCTTTACGTTCTTTTAGATGCATCATTGTTTTATGATAATTTTCTTTTTGCCAATTACGTATCATTTGTGTTACATCATTACACAAACTATCTTTTATTTTTAAATGAACTTCTGATAAACGTTCAGCTTCTGTTAGTGTACCTCGCCATGCCGCTTCTGTTGTACCATATTCTGGACCTAAAAAAAATTATACATTTATGTATTTTAAATAAATAATATAAACGATTGTAAAAAAAATAATGGTATTTATAATAATAAATAATAAGTAAAATAAGAAATTTTATTTCAACTGTATACAAATATAATAATAATAAAATATCCATGGGGAGTGAGTTCATTTATACAAATTAACACGCTGTTAATGCTTTTTTTTTTGAAAATCAGTGACGAATTTTCGATTTTTGATAAAAATTATTCATTCTACAAATTAGTAAAATTTTGATAATTAAAAACAGAAAACAATTCACATTAGGTGTATCAAAAATTAATTTATTCCCCTTTATGTCACTCAGAGTCATCTGTGTTTGATTTTCGCATTTCTTTCTTTTATCCAAATTCAACCATTGCGCAATCTGTTTTTGTTTTTCTGAAATATTTATAGATTACGCAGAACAATGTCAAATGTTGATTTAAATATTCAATTGATTCATTTTAGTGAAGTTTGTAGGATCAAATTAATTTGAAAGGTTGATCTATAATTGAAATCTAATAAATGTACACAGAACATTAATTTATACATAATTAACATGGAAAACTTAAGTATATCTAAAATCAGTGTTATCTCAATGAAAATTTCTCAATAGATTTCATATCCTTTAAAAAAATTAATTTTGTATCTGCACAATTATTATGTATTCGAAAATTAAAAGTAATTTAAAAAGAAAATAATGAGGTTGTCCCTGATTACAATAATCATCAATATAACACCGATAATAAAATATGTCATAAATATTAATTTTAAATGGAATATCAAGTACACACATTCTCATATTATATAAATTTTTATTTTGTGATTTTAAATTGCTTTAAAAATACACATATGTATTTACAAATTTATAAATATATCATATTACTCATAATGAGATAATCTTTTTCATTCTTTTTTTCGTATTCAATATTCAGTTTAAATAAAAAGTAGTAAGTATTTTGTATTTTATAAATACCTTATATTATTTATACATTTATCGTACATTTTAAGAGTACAGAAGCAAAATACAATAATATTATATACAGCTATACTAATAAATAGAACTATAATTCTTTTTAATATTGCATTTTAAATCAGCGAAAAATTTAGCACCATATTATATATATTACATATTATAGTGCATATTTACATATAATATGTATATATGAAAAGAAAATAAAAAATTATAATGAGAAATAAAAATAAATTTACAATAAGTAAAAGAAGAATAAGAACCTATTATAACTTTTGTATTATAAGTATAAAAGAGAAATTGGAGAAGTTATTTATAGAAACAAGAAGAATCAAATGAAATGGGCAAATAAAAATTTATAAGAAGCGAGAAATGTTAAAAAAAAAAGATTATTATTACTCGTATACGAGCATATAACATGGGCATTGTTGAAACGTTGTTTAAAATCGATTTCTGAAACCTTTTCAATATCTTCTTCTTTTCAATATTATTTGTATACAATATTAAACATACATACATACACAATTTATTTATTTTAATTTTTAGCACAAATACTTTAACTAAGAAGACACAAATATTTGCATATACAATATAACAAAAAGAAAAATTAAAATAATGTTAAAAATATTTTAATTCTGGAGCACTAAAGTGCCTATTTATACTTTATTTATATAATGTAAATTTGCAAAATTGTACTTAGGCATTTTCAATAAATTTATGGCACTTATTTATAGGTGCATTCAAATTTTGCTTGGGTGTAATTTAGTATTTATGTAGTAGACCATTTTAATCACCTCATAAAACATCGACTATTTATTTTTTTTTTGTTTCGTTTTTGTAAGAGTAAAAGATTTTGTCATTTATCATAATTACACATTTGTTATATTTACTTTCAATTATTATCTTGTGTACCTACCTAAATTTTATGAAGTGCAAAAATATAAACGTATAGATAGTAAGTAATAACTTTTATATTAATTGGAAATTCTTAAATAGATAACGAATATTAAAAAGTTTTATGCCAGAAAATTATTATAAACAAATATTTATTATTAAGTAATTTAATAATATTAACTAACTGTACAATTGAGAAGTATTCTAAAATTCTACTGAGATTTCCATGATACCTGTTCTATATAAACAGAAATGTAAAATACAAAATTGTCATAGATTAGCTAAATTAAACATATGTACCAGTTTCAAATTATAAAATTTACAAAGAACAAAATGTTACCGGCAGATGGCCGCAAAATATAATTTCAGTACAAATACACTTTTGACAAGAGTATAATAGTTCTTTCATCTTACACAATTTTTGAAAAATCGATTTTGAAAAATTTTGATTTTGATCACGGAAATTTGATTGCAAAATATGAATTGAAAATTCAATCTGAAATTCTATGTATACAAAATATATCAATGCATTCATAACCTAACTTATACATAATAGTATGGTATAATAATTAATTAATAATTTATTAATTATCTTCGAATATACATATGTACATTTTTTACATAGAGTTCCAAGAATTATTAAATAATTAATTAATAATAATAAGGGCGTTAATAATGGCTTTAGTATTAAATTTAATTTTTGTAACATTGTAAGATTTGTGGTGGATAAAATTACAATTTACTGCAAACAAAATTTTATATACAAGTACCGTGTAAATTTAATCTACCCATACATACTTATGTTTATTATACAAAACTTGTTTGATTATATAACAAAATTAACAATTATTATCTCTTATATCATTATTTAAAAGTTCTTTTATATTTTCATATTTTACAATGATTTAATTATCAAAATCTAAAAGCTATTAAAAAACTAAATAAAATTGATTCTCATTTAAAACTTGAAATGAAAATTGATTTGAGACATAAAAATTAAGCACTTAATTTTTATTTGCAATGAAATAACAGAAAAAAAACAATGTAATAATGAGAAAATTCTAACATTTTTACGAATTCATCATAAAAATTTTAGTTTTGTTCTATATGTACACAATGAGTAAATTTAAATCCATATTAATCTACATTAAAACGGTAAAGGAATGACTAAACATTGATTACATAAAAGCTTAGAATTTTATATTATATTGGACTATTAATGGCTCTTATAACAAAATAATCAAAAATCATTATTTATTTATAAATTTCACGTAAATCATTCAAATTCCCGCTTTTAACCCGGTTCAGTCTTATAGAGTATAGAAATGACACAACAGAAGAAAACAAATATATTTTGCCTTACCACATTAATCATTATTTTTTTTTTGCATCAATTTTAATAAATTACAAAATCTTTGTAGTTCCGTCTAGTCAATTAATTTTTTTTTGTTTTATAACAATTATTTTCTTGGGAACACCATTATTGAGGCAAAACTTAATAAAAAAGAAAAAACTCCCTCACGTACTCGTACAAAACAAAAAAAAATTTTTGTTTTTTTTTTAAAATTTCAAGAAAATAAGAACTAATTTAGCAATGTTCTAACCTGAAAACTACTAATAAGGTTTAAAAATTGACTTTTTCAGTCAAAACTTCATAAGAATTAAGTAAAATCAAACTGAACTCTACCGTTGTGCAATTGATTGGTGAACTAATTTTATACGAGAGTTTAAACACACCTTAAATGAGTATATACAACGAACTGTATTCCAATTTTTCTCAAAAGGAAAGCGGACGTCAAAAATTAAAATAGAGTTTATCGCATTGCAATTATTATACCATATACTGAGCGATCATTTTGAATAAATAATTCCTTATTAAAAAAATTATTTTCATATTATTTTTAAATGCATGTTTCATACTTAATATATTTATTTATTTCCAATTTTACATGATTTTGAATTTCTTACATTATTATATTTGTTGCGATTATTTTTATAATAATATTAAAATTTTATTTTGCGATTTTATTTATTGATGAGCATGCTACATTTTTATAAGATGATGACATTTTCTATTTTTTAATTTTATAATAAACAAAATATATACGCAATATACATATATATATAAAATTAACGTAACAATCGATAATAGCTTTTATTAATTTATTTATTAAATAATGAACGATCGAAATGTACTTAAAAATTATAAAACAAAACTGGTTTACGATTATTTTTAAAAAATAATATTTGAAACTTTTATAGAAATACTTAAAACTTATTCTTAATATAAATTTCAAGAAAATATGAAATATTTTTTGTAGAATATAAAAATCAAGAAGGTATACATATGTGTATGTACACGTATATACTTATAAATAATTTATAAAACATGATTTCAAATTTATAAATTCAAAAATGTTAAAACAAATAAAAAATATGTGTGAACAGGTGCTTGTTTAATTTTATGCTACAGAGTAACTATAGCGGCAACACTAATTATTTAAATGTAAATGTCAAAATTTGAACAGTAATTATTTTAAGTTTAATTATTTAAAATGAAATTTTTGCTTAGATCTTACAATTGAAGGAAATTCAATTTTAACAGAAGCATGAAGCAATTATGAAGAAATTTTACTATTAATAGATAATTAGGAAAAAAATGGAATTTAAGGGAACCTATCAGTTACCTATAAGATAAGTATTAAGTTATAATTCATAATTATGTTCATTTTTAATTTATGTTATCTTTTAGGAATAAAATGGGTATTTATTTTTAGGCACAAGTAAAAAACTAGCAGACAATGTTTATGTAACAGCACTTCAACGTTACAACAAAATTCAGCGTATCTATAAATATAAATCTCTATAAATATAAAAACTACTTATATACATACATTTACAAATCATAATTTAATTTAGTTTAGTTCATTTTTATTTCACTGTAATGATATTTTTCATAATTTTCAATATGAAATCTATTATTTACTTAAAGCGTATTCAAAAATCTTTATGCAGAATATTAAAAATAATTGTACTTAATTCTCAACATTTAAGTTTCCCAATCATATTTAATAATATATTGATATATAGAGTAATAATATTACAAAACATAAACGGTTAAATGAAATTGTGAAAAGAATAGAATTAAGTAGGTACTTATTTTGGCCCAGATATTCATTTGTGTAATGCGTGTAAATTTTTTATTTTCAATTTAAATTTTACTTTCTAAGTCAATTTTTCTTTTATTCTTTCTCCATTTAATATATACAATATATACATATACATATATATACATATACATATATATACATGTTTATATATACACATATTTTCTTTTTTCATATTGTATGTAGATACCAAGAATGTAATTGTAGACGATATTTATTTTTTTATTTTCATCTCATATACATATTATGTTATAATTAAATTATAAATATTTAAAGATTATAAAAGTAAATAGGATTTTATAAATGGGATTATGTAAAAATAGGTAGATATTTACTCGTATATGAATATATTGGGGCTACTTATTATATAATATGTTGAAGTCAATTTGTAAATAGGTTTTCTAACTTCGCATTAATTTTGAGCAACGAAAAATATTATCGATTTGAACTCATTTGCTGGTACATATATTTTTTATCATATATGTAATTACAATGTAGTTTGAATTAACAAGAAAATATTTATTATTAATATTTGAATTATTAAATTAAATTTACCTTTTTCTATTAAATCAGCCCATTTTTTTGACCATGCACGTAAACTTTTTGCATATCCTTTTTCAATTTCAGCTCTTTCTTGTATTAAAGCCTGTAAATCATTACATAATCTGAAAATTTAAATAAAAATACAAATTAATTACAGATTTCAATTCTTAAAATTCGTAAAATTTCGACAGGTATTTTAACAGGATTATACTTTTTTCGAACTATTTTTAATTTCTTATTTTAAAACCATGTTTTTATATTCGAAAACGTTCAGGGACAAAGATACAATGAGACGAGCGGGAAAGATTTCCTTCATTTAGGAAATCTTTCATTATTTTAAGGTATGCATTTTTTAATCAATGCATGTATTCTACAGAAAAAGAGTTGTTACATTAATCATAATAATGAGATAGAAAAATTCAATTACTTAGGCGGCATCATAGCAATAGATGGCGGAACAAGTACATTAATACATTTTATTACTATGTGGTCTAAGCATTTCTCGGTTTTAATTATTTCTTTTTTTTATAAAAATTTCTTCTATCACTTTCATTTTCCTTTCTTTTTATACTAAATGAATGGCACGTTTTAGTTTATAGCATACTTATACTAAAATTTAATTTTAATTTTTTTTATTAAATTTTAAAAATAAAACAAAAAAAAACACAATGACACAATGATTTCATAGAAAAATAACAAAAACTTCCCACAAATACCTTCAAATAGAGTTTGTTATCAAAATAATTAAATCTAAAATAAATTCACAAAACTTTAATAAAAAAAAAAAATTTTTTAATGAATTCATTAACCTATAATTAGAAAACTACTGGAATCCACCATATTTAACACCACCTAACTTTTAATTTTTCTCTCAATTCCATTCTGTACCAAGTTAGTATAATACAATATTTTTAACTATTAAAAAATAAGAGATATAAAATTCTTACAATAAAATTACTTTTCGGTAATGCTTATAATAATAAAAACCATATATCGCTACGTGTCCGATTCACCCAACTTTTTTTTAATTATAGAAACATAATGAAGATAATGATAATAGTCGGTTACAATTATTATTATTTTTGTATATGGTATGTGTACATACATACTAACGTTGTGTTTATTTAAAAAAAAACTATATTGTTCATTTTATATAACAACTCAATTCAAATTTTTAACATATTTGTGCATGAATTCATTTTTATACTATTTATATTTTGTTTGTGATACAGAGTATATCAGTTTAAGATAGAAATTTCATATACATATTTAATATTTTTGGAAAACATTTTGTAAAGTTTGTCAATTTTAGTTAATAAATTATCAAATTCTAATTATATTAAAACCGAATGGGGCTTGCCTAAGAAGAATTGTTATTGATAAAATCTTCGTATTGAGATAGTCGAACGCTTCGTATTTAAGATATTTGAAAAATCATTAAATATTATGTTAAAATTTGTTAAAATTTTTAAAAGGCTCCGGAGCATCTACGAAACAAGCAACCGTTTGTTCATAGACAAATTTTATACTGAATTGAGATACATATACGGGCAAAGGAACTCTTCCCCTTCGATAATCGCAGTCAGCCTTGGCTTATTTTTGCTTTTCCATATTCAAATTATACTACACCGATCCCAAGTAAATACCGAGAGATATCCTTAGGGGGGTTGGAAGGTAACTCTCCAACACTGAGAAAGCATGGTCCAGACGGCCACGCCAGAACAGTTCGATTCCGATTTTTCCAGTTTATGCAAGTGATATTCCACCGGAAAATACTCAGTGGAGAAGTCAATAATAGCACAAACCTAATTTCGATACCTCCCAAGCAACTCTAAAGAGAGCTTCCTTGATCAAGAGAAAAGGAACAGCTTCACATGATGACATCCCTCAATATCCTGCCAAAGAAGATTCAATTCTCTTTCAACCAGAACACCAAGTCTACTCCTAATGGTAGCAGACATTGACAGCCCAGAGAACGGAACGGGTCTTGCTTACACGTACAGAGATAGAAAACAAAAAATATAATGATATTACCGAAAAAAAAAAGTTCAACTCACCTGTAACCATCTTCTATTCGTTTTGTTGTTCTTTTATAATTTCCAGGCTCCCAAAATGAATCGCTTCCAGCCTGCAGAAGTTGATCATCACTGTGATGTGACATTTTTTTTTATTTATTTTTTTTTTACTTATTTCTTTCTTCTTTTTTTCAATTTTTAATAATTTTTTTAATTTAATTAATTCCTAAATATTATTTATTAAATTTTAATTGTTTATTTTTTTGTATATATTTTGTTGGTAACGGCGGGATCTTAATGAACACACAAAAAAAAAAATCAAATGTTTAAATAAATTTTGTGAAAACACGAAAAACAACAACTTAGAATTAAAAAATATAAAAAAAGTGATAATTCAGATTTTCTTAATTTTTTTAGGGGTTTAGGAGTTATCAATAAATTATCCTTTTGAAATATTTCATAAATTCCAGAAAAAATTTCGAATTTTCGAATTTTCGAATTTTCGCCAAATTTTTATTAATTTAATTTTAATTTTAAAATCATTTTGGAGCTTCTTCAATATAATGGAAAAAAAATAGAATATAAAACCAAATTTAATTTAAAAATTTAAATTTAAAAAAAAAACCCAATAAATAGACAGCCAATTTTGCGGTTCTTAAATCTCGGGCTGTTTTTTTTTTTTCGTTTTCTTCTTATTTTGTTTTGTTTGTTTAACAAAATAGAATATTGAAAATTAATGAAATAAATAAAGTAAACGTTTTGTGGTTTAATTGCTTTTTGTTTCTTTGTATGTGTGCGTGTATATAAAATTACTTTGGAGCTAGCAGTAGTTGCGTATGGTTGTTTTTGCTGTAAAGAGAAGAAAAGAGATGAAAAAAAAACATTATTTTTATTGTTTAATTTTTAGTATATAAAAATAAAAATTGTTATTGTTAAAATTTATTCATAGTGAAATACATTGACCTAATAAACCGTTTTCAAATTAACCGAAAAATTACAGGTGAAAAAAAAATTGTGTTTTTTTTTTTTGAAGAATCACCCCTGCTTTTGATTGTTACTTTGTTTTTGAGGTACGTTATACAAGTGTAACAACAGTGATTTATGCAAAGCTGTGAATTCAAGCTTAACTTCACTTCCGGATTTTTTTTTTTTGTGTTTTTTTTTAAATTTTATTAATAAATGAAAGCTTGTTGTTTTTTCTTTTGTGATTTTAAACTAGACTGAAATAAAAGTTCAAAAAAATATAAAATGAAAATTAAAAATATTTTCTGGTAAAATGATTCACAAATTTTATATATGGGAACTGATAACAAAAGTAGTATTTGATATTAATGGAAAAAAAATTATTAAAGGTCTACGAAGAAAAGAAGACCAGACATTCATAAACTATAATTAATTTAGAAAATTTCCAAAAAAAAAAAAATAAATAACATCTTAATATCGTTTTTTTTTTATAGAAGGAGAATGAAAAACCGCATTAATATTCTCAATTCGGCACGAGAACAAAAACAATACGCAGAAATTATAACGAAGCATTGTCGGCAGGAGAGAAGGAGACATGAAAAGAAATTTTGCCTTGAAGGCAGAGAATTTTATGGCAAATTCTGTGGAAAAGCTTTGGATACACATTTTGTATCAAATTAACTCACAAAAGAAAGAAGCTGCCAAGACGATTCTACAACTAAAGAGAAGTTCCGATAAATGAAGTTTTCATTAACATTGACCGAAAGAATATTTTGTTCTTTTGAGTGCTTGTTATTTAGTTGAGAGAAATAATATTCCCACTTCAAGAATTTTGCAGATCATTTTGGACCAAACATAAAATTTAACCCACAAATTTATAAGCATTATTATGCTTATAAATATGAAATTTATGGAAGCGGAAATCAATATGAAATTTAAAAAATTGAAATAACCAGACATTATTTAATCACATCATATTATTAAATATTAAATTCGTGTGTATGTTCATCTGAAATCATTTATGAAGCTAGTTTATATATACGTATCTTAAAATATACAGCCTCTAACTAAAACTTAACATCAATTAGATATTTTTAATTAATATTATCCATACAACCTAAATACACACATATTAACATCAATTAGATACCATATACACATATGACATGTATATATGGATGTGTCATGAGTATATATACACGTATATACTTATAAGTGGCCCATAAGTGTAATACTTAAACTCATATTCTCAATAACTGAATTTTCTACTCATTATTTTTGTTATACAAAATTACAAATAATACTTAAAAAAAAAAAAAATCGAATATACAAAAGAAATTCTACATCTAATTTTGTTATACACTTTTCTCTTTTCATTTTCTTTGATAAGATTAAATTAATTAATAGGTGAAGAATATGTGAAGATGAGGGTACAATAATAATAATGATATCGATTGGAATGATGAAAATATGTAATCATATTTTTCTTGTTTTAAGATGTTGAATCCCATTTTTTTTTTTTTTTTTTTGAAAAACTAAGGTTACCATACGATAACAGAGTAGCTCCGTTATCTTATTATGACCTTTGAAATTATTTGATAACACAAAATATTTGAAATTCTAAATTTTCCAATAAGAGGAAGAGAAATAATTGTATTTTATATTGTGGGAAGTTTAATTTTTGAAGCAAAATTATAATTTTGCAATTTATTTAATAAAATTTTTGCTATTGTTTAAAAATATACTTGGTAGTGTTTTGTCAATATTGTTTACAATTTGCTGTTAATTGTTGTCTGTGCCAAAAGCGCTTAAGCTGATCTAACACAATACTCAAATTAAGAGCCATAGCAAAATTTAATTTAATAATTACGGACAATTACAAAAAGGCCGAATTGAAATTAGAAAAATTTAATAAATCATTAAATAAAAATATTAATTTAATCTCTGCATGTTTATTTATTTTTTAAGTTAATTTTCAAAATAAGGCGAAACTTCCTGGATCAAATTGAATAAAAAACTGCAAATTTTATTGCAACTTGCAACTTTATTATTTGATTTAGGGGGCCTCAGGCAGACATGTAATTTTAAGTTTTTGCAATTGACTACTGCTTGATTGTAAAATCGTTTCGCGCACATCTCTATATTAAACATATAAACCTATGGAATACAAAATAAGCAATCAAATAGTTGCAAAACTAAAAATTGTAATTAATTTCTGTCTACGAGCAGCGCTTAAAATATCAACGACTTGTCTAACATATTTTTCAATTTTTTAAATTGAGAACCACATTTTTGTTCTAAGTGTGAACACCACTGATATATCATTGTTGAAAAAAAAATAAATAAATAAAAAGTAGAAAAAAAATGAGCGGAAATTTATGCAAATTAAAAATTTATAAAAAACAAAAACAATTGAAAATTTCGCACAATAATAATTTTTCAATGAAAATAATAATAACATTATGTCATAAAGTATGTCAGTCTGTATATATTATATAAATACAAATATATTTATTTATATACGTACATATATATACATTAATATAAACTGTCATATGAACTATCATATTAACGTTCGTAAATATAATGAATATATACATGTGTACAATCTGTGATAATAAGAAAAAGTTGATTAATTCACCATTAATAGGAACTAGCGAAACAAGTTCAATATTTTAAGTTAGTTTCTAAATTGAAGAAGTTTAAATCTTTTTATAACACTTTTTCAAACTTTGTATAACACTTTTCCAAACTTTGTATAACAGTTTTTTCTAAGAAAAAGTCAATGGCTTTAAGTTTATAATTTACCTCAAATTGGCATAAAATAGTTCGAAACGTTGTATTAATTATTCAAATGTCGACAATTCAAATATCTCGACTGTGATCGTGTTTCTCCTTAATACCATCGATTTATACATGAATATTATTATAGTATATAAAATGAGCACGATATAACAACATTTTTATTTAAAATTTTCTTTTAATTACTAATTTTTTATTTTTATTTTGTTTTTATTTATTTATTTATTTTCCATAAATTTGTATTAATTAATTTTCTTGTTTGTTTTTTTTTTTTGTAGTTTTTTCATTCTTCTTGTTCCACATTTTTATTGCATCTCTTTTTTACTTTAATATTCTTTATTTTTGTACCTTAATAAAACAAAAAAAAAATGAAAATAAAACAAAAAATCTTATCAGCTGAGTTTCAAAGTTTTGTTCTACATTTTCACAATTCATTTTTACCAAGCCATAATACTGCTATAACAGCAGAACTATTCACAAACTTGCAATAATGACATGTAGGAAGAAATAAATTAAAAAAGCCGGTAGGTAATATTGTAGTAGTAGTAGAAAAAAAAAATGTGAAAAAGAGAGAGAAAAAATATATTTAGGTAATTAATTTGCGGTGAGTAAATGAACTAATAGCGCTGCTACCTTCAGTTTCATTTTAATTAATATTTATAAATTCACAATATGCTTACATTTTTTCCTGTAATTTTTTTTTTTATTTTCTTATGAAAAAAGCTACTGCGTGCCCATGAACTTTGAAATTATAAATATATTTTTTTTTAAATTTTTTTAAATTGTGTTACTGATATAGAATATTATTAAAAAAAAAAAATATTAGAAATTCTAATTAAATTGCAAGTTTATTTTAGTTTTACTAATTGAATTTTTATTATCATGTATATTTGGTTTAAAAGTGAACTTTAATGTTTTAGAGATCAAAATGAAAAAAATTATGATTAAGATGTTATATGTATATAGAACAAGTAAGTTAACATAAATTGATGTTATTGGAAAAGGTATGCGAAGTTGAAATAAAAAAAAAAAATATATTGTAAACAAGGCCTTTTATAATAACAAGAATTATTTACAAAGCTGCAGCATATTTTGCAAAAATACACAATAAATTTCAGATGGATTTAAATTTGCTCTTAATTATCTGCGTAATATATAAAATATATGAGAATACAATAAAATATACAAAATACTTTTAATAAACTTGGTGATCTGCTTGTCAATTATTAAGTCAAACATTAATCAATTTCGCATTCACAATATTAAATAGGGAGTAAATTCGAAAAATTTAATTCTACACCTAAATATTATTATCTAACAATAAATAAATTATTTCAAGTGATTCACTAATAATTTTCATAATTTATGTTTGTATCAAAAATCTTTCTGTCTCCATTTTGTATAATATTTTGTTTCTGTAAGCTGTAAAACACTTGTTATAAAAGCAAGTTTAAAAGCTAAAAAAAATATCTTATTCAATTTTCTGATTAAGTTTTTACAAAAATTTTAACAATACCCATTGTTTATTATAATAATATAAAAATGCTGAACAATTAAAATAACATATCAAGTTCTTAAAAATTAAAATTTAAATGATTTTAAAAAGGAAAAAATTAATGATCATAATCGTAAACAAAGTGTTTTGAAACATGAATCGATTTTGTTTTAAAAATTCGATTGATTTAAAATTATTCTCTACTATTCACATAACCTGAGTATCAAAAATTTTGCTGATTAATTAATCAACCATTCAACACTCAATCTAAACACTCTTAGTTACATATTCTAAAGTGACTTAAGCATTTTCAGTTTAGTTGTACATTAAAACAACAATTTGTTAAATTTTTCTTTAAAAGTATGTATGTACATATAGCTTATGTATGTATAAAGATAAACAATAAGATTGTCTGCGAAATGTAATCTAAAACTTTTGCAATTTTTTAATATTTTCTTGTTTTTTTTTAAACCGCTATTTCAAATGAATCATAAAATAATAATTTTTCTTAACATAAATAAATCATAAACACCTATATAAACATGCATAATAAACAACTTTAATATACTTATTTGTATTTAAAAAAA